TTCAGGTTCTACTCCGTCGTAACGAGTCCAATCCCTCTCACGCCAGCGTTGGTTCGCATACTCATATTTCCAAAAAGTTACCCGCGGTATCATCGGCGCCTACGCTGCTTTCAAAAATTCCTAAAACACAAAGGGTTCACCAAAAAACAAAAACATACAAAATATAAAAAACTAAAAACGGTCCCCATCCCCTACAAAAAAAACAAATCGATTTTAGTGTACATATTCGATACCCCCCTCACAGGAACCTGATTAGTCCAGGGTACTCGTTAGGGAGATAAACTCCCCACGGACCTCCGGACACCCTAGCAAACTTTGCCAGGGTCCCGAGAGAGACCTCCGGGGGGTATCCCCGGAGGCGCGTTTCCATCATCAAGGCGGCTATGGCCGCTTTCATTCCTTCTACCGATGTAGAGATCCTGTCCATTCTCACTAATGCAGCGTATAAAGTTGCCTTCTTCGACGCCTTCTGGGTAAATGAGGCGAAATCCTGCATGGATTGCACCCTCAGTGTTCCATCCTTTGTTAAACTCTGCTGGTTCCTAGTTTTAGGAATCACCTCAATCTCAATGGGATGGAAGCTTACCATAACACGTGTCCCCAGAAAATCACAAGCATTCCGTCGTTATCCTTGCGCACCAATACCAAATTCTCGTCGTAACATCTTTCAAATTCCTCAAAAAGATCAGTGACTCTTGCCAAAGATGCTGCTACATTCCGTCTGAAGCCCATAATAACCATTACGTCATCAATCATCCTGACCCCTCTCACTAACGACCTCCTTTCTTGCTCTTGATTCATATATTGGTACTCCGCCTTCGCGCACACCAAACAAGCTAGCGCTGGGCTCGAGTTCCTTCCCATAGGAATACCGAAACGTTGTGCGAGTGTCTCCACCGCGCATCAGACAAACGAGTTCGATAACTCAAATGCAACCTCCTTCCTTAGATCCTCAAAACATACCGCCACCACACCATCTTCTTTCCGTACCCTCTTTGCCATGGAACACACCTTTCCCCTGACTCCTATTTTCACTCCTCTCATCCCCCTCCTCTCGTGATACTTGATCAGCCATTCGACCGCCTCCATGACCACCTCATGTGAGAGCTTGAAAAACATCTCCTTGATATCATAACTTCGGACAATCGCCCCATCGTAGCGTCGAGTTAGAGCACTTCGTACCTCCTCACATCTCTTACCCAAATCATCTGTCGCTCTTAGATCAAAGTGATCATTCTTCGGTAGGCAAAACAACATGTACCTGATCGCTCTACCCCCTCTAGCTGCTGCTACCCTTGCCGGATCAAGCGTACATGGGGATATTGGCCTCCATCTCCCAAGATCCTTATCCTTGGGTAGGACGTAGGTCTGGCCTATCCTCCCTCCTGCTTGCCATCTCGCCACCTTGGTAAGCCCATTCCTAATGTAGTCCTCCCTCATAGTGCGCAGAACCTGGTCTTCCTCCCTCGCCACCACTTGGAAACCAGGATTGTGATTGAACGTCTCCTTACACGCCCTGAGGTACAGGACTGGGCACAGGATCGGCGTCGCTCCTGGGTTCCGATCAATCGGGACTGCCACCAAACTCCTCAACCCTCCAAAAACTGTGCGTACCGCGTTGGTAGTCATTGCTACAGATCCTCCCGACTCCCACCTGCGAAAGCATCTCTCGATTCCCCCTTGATCAATCTGAATCCTCATTCCCCCTGCGCAACTCTCAATTTCCTTTCTTATGCATGTCTCAAGAGCGTGTGGTGAGATCGTGATTCCGCTGGTCACGTTGTTCGAGTTCCTCATAAAGGCAGGCACTCCCTCTACCTCAGGCAAACGTACCTTTACATGGCCATCGCTCCTCGATAATTGAAAAAACTGGCACGTACATACCGCCACCTCCTTCTCCGCGAATGCCCAGTGGTTATGGATGATCATCCCCACCGTCTTCCTCTTCCTAAATACCACCCTCACCCTTTTTGCCACAAAATGACCAAAGGTTAGATCTGGAACAGATTGAGTGATCAGGCCTGCCGTAAGCTGTCTCACGACGCACAGCTTAATCCCCAGTGAGAAAGGGACCTTGACGCACGGCCTCCTTCGAATCTCACAACCAAACCCTCCCCTCGCAACCTAACTTACCACGGTCTTGATACGGTTCCTGCTCTTCTTGTCATGGAATAGCGACGCGGTGTGATACAATGCAATCATCTCCCTCGCAGACTTCTTATACAGATCGCGTATCCTCCATGGTTGCCGGAGAATATCTCTCAGAATGAACTTCCTATGCTCGATACTTGACGGAAGCACATGAATCCTCACAATCTGGTAAGTTCCTTCCTCCTCGTGAAGCTTCCTACATAATCTTAAAGGTCTCGCAACATGGTCCACAAGGATCATCGTCTCCCCAACCTTCCTCCGTACAGTTTTCCACTTATCCGCCCAGATCTTCCCTCCTGATGATGTAATAACCCTCCTCCTTCCTCCCAGATTCCCCATTTCCTTCAGCACTTCGATGATGGATGATCTACCGTTAAATAAGATCACTGATCCCCCATACTGATATGTCGCCCTCCTTCCTCTTTCCCTCTTTCCCCTTCTCCTCCTTACCCGACTACATTGCTGTTCCCTTGCGTATTAAGAGCTGGGGAAAATCTCCTAATCAGATCTCCCTCAACCTTAAGTAGATCCCCCTCCCCTTCAACTAACGGGATCACCAGGTACTTTCTCCACCCAAAGATCTTAAGTCACGCGTGTAATTTCGGAGCATTCCCCACATCCCCCCTATCCACCAGATTCACGTGATCGGACCATCTGGTAATCACTTTACACTTCGTGCATCCAATGTAGAAATGACGGCACCATGGACTAACCAGGACGAATACCCCTGGTTTGTCGGTAGTAGCATCATTACTACTGCCGCTCACGAAACCCACCCATTTCCTTGCCCATGCACATTCCCCCCTAATTACACATAGGAGAAACATTCGAAACAAACGATCCTCTTGCGCCACGCGTAGCCTCCCTCTCCCCCCATCCATCTGTCCCCCTCGCGCCAGCATCTCCGTATGAAGATGGTCCATACTCACCTCCATTAGTTCTCAAACAGGTCGGAAATGCGTCCGTTCTCTGTGAATTCAACAAAGGCAAGCTTTGCCTTACATTTTACAAGTTCTCCAATCGCGGTATCCCTTTTGGACCACTCGATTCCTTCGCGATTACATAATTTTCGAAGTTCCGGAACTTTCTTCTCTAACAAATGCCGATGGAGTTCAATCGCAAAATCCAAGATGCTCGGATCCCGTTCGACGTCCCTGCGATTCGGCAGAGGTGTCCTATCCTCTTCGTTCGCCACCTTGATTGGTTCATCCCGATCTCCTGTCTTTTCTATCCTCGACCATCTTTCCTTCGCTCTGCCTTTCCCTTTCCTCTTCTCAATCGCTTCCACCAGCTTACCTGCCTCCTCCCTCACCTCCTCACTGTCATCATCAGATACATCAAAATAGCTTCGCATCTCCCTGAGAACCCTCGCTTTGGTTCTGGGGGACTTCTTCTTCACTCCGGACGATTCTGGTTGCGCGTCGTTCTTCGTATGTTGCGCTAATAACCACACCAGTCTCGCCTCCAACCTTGCTTCTCTTGCGTCCGCCTCCCTCATTCTTTCTAACTCCTTCCGGTTTTCTTCTTCCCTCCGTCTTCTTTATTCCTCTTCCCTTCCCCTCCTTTCCTCTTCTAGCCTACTTTTCTTCATCTTCTCCCTAAAGTATTCCCACATCTCCTTCGTTTCATCATCAGGTGCGGACGCCTGCACCGTCGCAGATGGCAATCTCCCATTTCCTGTGGATCAACAGTTGCAGGCATAGTGTCCGACTTTCCCGCATAAATGACACGTCACCGCCCCTTGCGTATTTCCTCCGTTCGTCATACCGTTCATCCCGGGATAACCCGGGTTTTGCATCCTCCGAAGTTAACTGATTCGCCCTCCTAGCCGCCCTCCTCCTCCTCCTTCTCCTGTTCCTTACGATACAACCCACGCTGTAAAATCTCCCCAGAAATCTTTCGAGCATGCAAACTGGCTCCTCCTTCGTATTGTCATCCGGGAAATCTAAAGCTACAAAAATCAGGGGCACCACCTTATCGTAAACCCAGTTCTCAACGTCCTGCCACTGCCGATCTAGATCTTCCTCTCTAAAGTTCCTATTCATTACCTACATCTTTCTTACACACTATCGAGATGCGCACCACGACTAACAGCTCCTTATTCGAGTACTTCCCCCAAACCCTTAAGCCGCGAGATAAACATGCCAGACTTGCGAATAATATCAGTCCCTGTACCGCCAGACTCGCTAACTTCCGAAAAGCTATCCTCAACATGTCCCTCCTCAGCCAAACTCCTGAATCCAAAAGGTGAGACGATCACGCTCCCTTCGTCGAAGCTCGTCAATGTGATCATAGATACAATCGCATTCAGAGACACTCACCACAAAGTCTGCTCTTCAAGTCGAGGAAGACGATCACGCCTCCCCACACTTACCTATATCATGTGAGACCACCCGACACAATCACGCTCAAGTATCCAACTGATATGAGCACACCATAGCATAGCAGTGCAAGGACTTACAGCCCGCGCCAAAAAACACGTAGCCACCGCTGAAAGTTCGCAAACCTCTAGTTACCACGCTGTCCGAGATGCAAAAGAGAGCAACGGAGCTTCAATTATCGGCCTGCAGGTACAAAGGCAAACAATCACAAACAATGGCGCCCCCATATATATCCCGAATCATACGTAAAACTTATAGCTCAACGAAAACAGGAAAACCAAAAACCCGGTACGCACACCGCCTCTACGCGTTTCGTCGCCTGCGTACAAAGACGAACTCATCAGGAGGCAAAGAAATCCTCAACTCCCATCAACTGATCCGAGATATCTTCTTCCCGCTGGCTTACTGCTGTTTATATAGTCTATGAGCGCTCTCGCTACACTGTATTCTACATTCATATTACTCCAACGACTACCTTCTCCTTTGCAAAGCTAACCCGTCCACCCCCCGTAACTCCTTACTTCCCCAAAAGAGCCTTCGCTCATCCGTACTCCTACTCAACTACTCTAATCCTTCTATTCCATTTTTTTGGGCCCACTGATCCATCCGGTGGAGATACGGACCACACACTCCCTCCAAAAAAATTCTCCATCTCCATCCCAAATACTACCTCCTTGCTCGCCACCCCTTTCTTATCCCAAAAATCCCGAATTCGCAAACAGAAGCCCTCCCAAATTAGTATCAACTCTCCCCTTACCCCCTTCCTCGTCTCTCCTCCTTCCACCTCCATAGCTTGCGCTGACAACGAAGTTCGACCGATACTACCCAAAAACGTCACCACGGATTACTGCTAAGGTAACTCTTCCCAAAATCTACCCCTCCCTTCCCGTATTCAGGTTCTACTCCGTCGTAACGAGTCCAATCCCTCTCACGCCAGCGTTGGTTCGCATACTCATATTTCCAAAAAGTTACCCGCGGTATCATCGNTTCAGGTTCTACTCCGTCGTAACGAGTCCAATCCCTCTCACGCCAGCGTTGGTTCGCATACTCATATTTCCAAAAAGTTACCCGCGGTATCATCGACGCCTACGCTGCTTCCAAAAATTCCTAAAACACAAAGGGTTCACCAAAAAACAAAAACACACAAAACATAAAAAACTAAATAACGGTCCCCGTCCCCTACAAAAAAAACAAATCGATTTTAGTGTACATATTCGATACCCCCCTCACAGGAACCTGATTAGTCCAGGGTACTCGTTGGGGAAATAAACTCCCCACGGACCTCCAGACACCCTAGCAAACTTTGCCAGGGTCCCGAGAGAGAGAGAGCATTTGTCCTACCTGCATCGACGCGCCACCTTTGTCAGTATCTGGTACGCAGAGAGAGAGAGAGAGAGAGAGAGAGAGAGAGAGAGAGAGAGAAAGATGGAAAAAGAGGAGGAAGCGAGGGACAGAGAGACACAGACAAGCTTCCTTTTTTT